CTCCCCCCCCCCCCCCCCCAGGACTGGCTGCCTCCTGCTGAGTGTGCTGCGGCAGCGTGGAAAAGTGCAGACCTGAGCACTTCGATAAACCGATGAAGATGACAAATGGTGAGGCTTGGGGAATGGTGGAGAGAGAAATGCTTGACCTTCAGGTTTCAGGCAGAGGAGAGGAAGAAACCAGCATTTCTTTGCCTTTTTTTTTTTTGAGACAGGCTGGGGAGGCTGGTGTTTGTTGTCCTTTGCATCTCCCAGCCACTTCTGAGGGCTCGCTCAGATCTGAGATTCCCAACAAGAGTTGCTTGGTTTTGTGCTGGCTGCTCCTGGATGTTGAGCAGGTGCTAACCCAGATCATTGCTCCCAAACAGGCCCAGGGCAGGGGTGAGGGTATCTTCCCAGTAAACCCTACCAGACGTAGCTGTGGGGAGAGGAGGTGTGTTTTAAACTGTGGGCTGTATATAGCCCTTATATTGCTGGTTGCTGTCCACCCTACAGAAAGCTGTGAGTGCTGCACATCCTGAGCTGCTTCCTCTAGTTGTTCTGTAGCAGAGCCTGTGATGCTTCTGGGGGAGCTGCTCCTCCAAAAAGTCCCTGACATGAAATACGTACTGGGTACCTCTGATTTGGCTACCCCTCCTCCTTAGTACAAGTTCTTTACATGGCTGCAGGGTGTTTTCGAAGTCGCTCCGCTCTGGCTCTGGCTTACAGTGCTTGTGCAGATGAGTGGTGTCACCAGGAGGCGTGAGCCTGGGTCTGATGGGGCTCCATCCTAATCAGAGCCCTGGTTTTCCTTTTTTCCTCTTCCTGGTGAAGCTCTGCTCTGTGGTGGCTCTTGCTGGAGCACTGACAAATCTGCAGATAGACAGGGAGGTAGAGGAGGACGGGGAGGGGGGGTATAGGCAGCGTTTTGGCAAGTAAGGAGGAATAAATGGCTGCATTTTGGTGCGAGGAAGGGGTGGCTGGTTGCAGCACGAAGAGATGGTGAGGCTGGTCTGGCTTGAGGCTGAAATTTAACCCGCTTAGCGCTCTGTAAGCAGGTTGGAGGGCTTGCTTTCCCTGTGTTGCCCGTCTCCAGTTTCACTGCTTGCCACTCGAGCTCCAGGCCTACGTCGTGCCGGGTGGCAGAACAGGGAGGGCTGTGTCGGTGTGTCTTGGCCCCGGTTCCAGCCTGACAGGAGTTTGAATTGAGGTGTTTGAAAGAGCTGGGCAAGAACACGAAGCTGCTGCTATGCCCGCTCTGAAACCAGTGGTCCTTGACAGCCGTAGGGCTGGCAGAAGAGGACGTCAGCGCCTGGGACGCTGTTTTTCATGCCTCTATGTGTGAGCTTAACCGCTCCGATGCGCTGGTGTTCTTTGGGACGGCTGCTGATGGGCGGCTGCTGATGCTCTGTTAAAGCAGGTTTTGGTAGTTTTAAGGTTTAGACCCCAAAAAACTTGCCACCCTTGTTGGCAAGTTCAGGGAAGCACGACTTGTGGCCGTGCTTGGGTTAGAGCAGTCACGTTGTCGTGTCCTTCTGCGTGCCCTCAGCTCTCGGAGGGCGCTGGTTCCAGGGGACCAGCATCCTCGCAAGCTGGTGCCACGGGTGTTTCCTTTCAGCGCCCTGCCTCGTCCCAGCTCTACAAGAAGTCGTCAGCCTGGGGCATTCAGCTGGTCTTTGGGAACATCAGGCTTGTGCCTAAATGTCTCCTCTTGCAACCAGTGCTCTCTAACGTGAAACCTTTTCTGTTCTGTTGGAAGGGACCTTCAGCCTGTGGTGCCACCCCAAGTTCGAAGACCGCTGCCAGTCTGTGGTGGAGTTCATAAAGAGAGCAATCATGCACTCCAAAAATGGGAAGTTTCTCTACTTCCTCCGATCCAGGGTTCCAGGTGAGTCTGCCACGCTGAGGCTGGAGGATGCTTCGCTCTGTGGTTAGCTGCTGGTCTGTGCTCGAGAGCCCGTTTCATGTGGTTAATGCCCAGTGCCCTGGTCTGCACCCTTGCCCAGTGGCTTCTCAGAAGGATCCTGAGGAGCAGATTCCCTCACTCAGCGGCCGCATCACTTGCTCGTGGTGGTAAGGAGACTTCCCAAACGATTCTTTTTGGGAGCGTGGAAACGTGATACCATCTCACACTGTGACAAATGGAGCTGGAGACTGGAAAGCTGCTCCCTCAACGAGCGATTATTTGGCTACTAAACCTCTGCTTTCTTCCCTCCCCCCCAGTCTCAGCGCTGCTGTTCTGACAAACCACTCCATGCTTTGTAGTTTCCCAGTTCTCCATTAGCTGAGACCCACCTGGGGCTGTCAAGGGGAGAGACGTGTGGGAGCATTTCCAAGTGTGAGCTCAAAGTCAGCCTCGAGTGATAGATACTGTAGATTTGGAGTCCCTGGGGGAGACTCTGATGCCAGAGCCCATCAACAGGCAGGTGCTTGCAAGCGAGGAGGGAGTGTTAGTGAAGCTTTGTTGCAGCATGTTTGATTGCTTGCTGTTGGGATTGCAGAGCCCTTGTTTCCCCATCCATCAAACTCTGGTTCCTTAAACGGGCTCACATCTCCCTCCTGCTAAATCTGGGCAGGCGACTGGACCCGTATCTTCTGTATCTATTTTTTTTTTCCCCCCTGGTTTTCACTTATCTGTCCTAGCCAAAAAATCCAGTGGAAAAGGAAGGGAAGAGTCTCCCCAAATAGGCAAATGTGTCCCTTCCTTGGGAGAGCGCACCAGTGGGGGACAGAATTTGGAGGGCAGGCGAGCAGCGATGCTTTGAACAAAACGGAGCGGGAAGGGGAGCACCGGTGTGGTGAGGTGGGTGGCAGCAGTGGAGCAGAGAGGGGCAGGACTGAGAAGAGCGTGAGGATGGCTGTGGTACATCTGCAAGTGAAACTACAGTAAATTTGCTCCCTGTCCGTATCGCCGTCGTGCCTGCAGGCCCTGGTGGTGACAGTGACCACCTCTCTGTGGCACTGCGGCGTGGAGAGGCTTTGGCCCAAAGAGCTTCTGGTCTAGAAGAGGCTGGAGGGGAGGAGGGGTGGGATGTTCCCTCTTCAGGGCTCCTGACAGCGCTGGAGTCACAGCCCAGCTCTGTTCACTGTTGCCCTCTGCTGCAGACACTGCCAACAACTGGGAAGCTGATTTATAATGCGGCCGGGCTTTGGGGAGGAGAGGGGTGTAAAGCTGGTTTTGCGATGTGCCTTGCCTTCAGAAAAATCCTTTCAGCTTAAAGATCCTTTACCTTCCTGATCCTGAGATCTCTTCCCCTCGAGAACAGGGCTTTGAGGGCTTAGGACTCCAGGCAAATACCTCAGAAAGGGCTTGCTCTAGAAAAATACCCTCAAAAAAGAAAATGTCCCCTCCCCAAACAGTGCTGTGCACCTGTTGGAGTCCCTTGCTGCTTGGTCCCCCCCTCTCTGAGCCACCAGCCAGCTGTGCTGCCGGCTCGGGGTCCTGCCCCTCTCCATCTGGGTGCTCCTTAGACTCGCTGCGCCTTGATCCTTGAAACACCAAGTCCCACCCGGACGCCTGGTCTTCAGGGGGAGAACATTAGGATCTGCATCTCCCCAGTGTGCTCGTTAGCGCGTTTCTCCCGCTGAAATGTTAACTGCTGCTCAGAGGGGGGGGGGGGGGGCTGTTCCCAGCTCACATCTGGCTCCTGGCAGCGAGGCATGTGGCTAGCACAGTGTGCAGAGCTCGTGCTGCGTCCCTGTAGTCGCTGGCTGAGCTCCCCGCGGCTCA